AACCAGAAGCTGCTCTTCATATTAGTGACAAACAGTAACAGCAGCTTTCTGACAAGTTTAAAGTTTCTTTAAAATACATTAAAATATTTAAAAATAAATTACAAAAAATAATTTGATAAAGTGCAAATTAAAATATAGTTGTAGCTGTAACTGTATTTGATAATGCTTTGAACTTTTAAAATATTGCATGGTAAAACCAGAAGCTGCACTTCAAATTAGTGACAAATTTTGGTGTTTTTTGACGAGTTACTTTCATTTTTGCTTCTACCTTTCATTTTAAATAAGTTTCCATTTTCAGCAGTTTTCTAAGGTTCTTCTTCTACATATTGAAAAAGTTGTTAAACAGCTGAGTGGTGCACTACCACTACTAGTGGTGAGAAAGTGTATTGCACCTTATTCAAAATCAATGCGGTCCCGCAGCCCTCTGTGGCCCAAAGTTAAAAACTGTTGTTCTTTTGATACCCTCAAGGTGGCGCTCATGGCCCACAATTGGGCTGCAGCCCATGGGTTAAAAATCTCTGACATAAACGATACCGGTTGTTAATTCTGGACACGTTTGATGAATGCAGCAGCTGTTTTCTGTTCTTGTACTGAAACATTGAGAACATGCATACACAGCACTGGGTTGTCTTTTCGGTTTAATTTAAAAAAGTTCTCACACTTTTGACAATTTCTGTCATTTTCTTGGCGCTCCATTTTGGAACTCTTCATCTCTCTACGTAGCTGATTATAGGACTTAGCATACATGCGTTTCAGACCTATTACAGTTGACAAAGTATTCATCCCTCTGGGCATTCTCTATTTTTTGTTGCCTAAAAACTTGGATATTAGCTCTACAAAAGTACTGTAGTTTCCTGATACTGCGTAGGTCCTCTTTCAGAGCGTTTGAACAGTCAGCTGGTCTGAACTGTGTTCAGTCAGGACTGCTGATCCGTCAAGTTGGCGTTAGGGAAGCTTCAAGGCCCAGTCAACACCATTATCTCTTAGCCTGTATATTTCTTACAGCTTTGTGCAACCCGTTGTGTGCTGTAGGAGGCTGCTTCTGTCATAGAGCAGGGTTTCTTCTTGGGTATTCATAATCTGATATAATGTGTAAGTGGGTGTTACTCATTATGTTCAAAACAAGCAAAATTTGCCCAATATTGACCTGTATTGACCTTTTTACAGTTGCTGTTGTGCAGAGTAAGCCCTCGCTGCAGCAAACAGTAAGGGGCGGGGTCGTGCCCGAGCCATACCATATATGGAAGTAGCTCCATTACACTCCGGAAATGAAGGGGGCGCTGTATCATTGATCACTTACAAATGCTTTAACATAGCAGATGTACTTTTTCGTCATATTTTTATTTTAAAAACTGGTATTGAAAATCAAAAAACGGGTGTTGTTCCTATTTTTATTTTATACTCCAGAAATAGAAGAACAGTCAATCCTTTTATTTTTGTCAAAATGAAAGTTTAACTCTATTGTCAGAAACAACATGTTGTACAACATGTTTCATCAGACCATTCACCAGACATAGCCACAGAATTGTTTTTAAAGAAATTAGCTACACTGGCCAGGTTATAAAAAAATACAGTCAAGAAATAAAAAGGTAGTTAGCTAGTGTTCATTTATTTACAGGGAGCCTCTTGTTATTAAAATGTATTTGTTTCATATGAAATGGTCGGATCTACAGTGTTAAACATTTAAAAAAATAAAACAATGGACCATTTACCCATTTTTGGAGAATGAAATGAAAACAATATATTTATATTAATGTTAAATTTACTTTTCAGATTTGCTTTCAACACTGTTCAAGATTTTTCTAATGAATATTTCTTTAGAAAAAATAATTCAGTCTATTTAATTTCATTCAATGTTTTGTTAAACAATATCCAGATAATGTGTTGAAAATGAGGAATAACCGATAGTTTAGTTGAAAATTTATTGCTTCATAGATTTCAACGGACCAGGTTCTGACTGTAATAAAACAGACTCTTATTTTGAAATACCAAGTTGCTAATACCAGAAGTACCACTAACGGTTGCTGTTAGCCAGAGTTAAGTAAATAAAAAGTTCTGGTGTTATGTGGAAGGTGAATAAAGCAGAAGTAACTCCCAGTGGACTGGTGGTCATGTGGATTTATTCACCACTCGGCAGACACAACAACAATCTATAAAGATCAATAAAAAATAAAAAACAATAATCCGCTGCTATTATAGGAAACAGCGCCCCCTAAATTTCCGGGTTGCAATGGGTTCATTTCCATATATGGTATGGCTCGGGCCTCGGGCACAACCCCACCCCTTCCTGTTTGCTGCAGCGAGGTGTAGTTGGTTGTGCATATACAATCAGGCACCATGCTCAGACACATTCATAGATGTTCTCTGTATTCAAGTTCTGTGTTCAACTCTTGAATGTCTTTTACATCTTTTAATGAACTTTTATATATAACTGTATTTTAAAATGAGTTTTACTGGTATATTAGTAATGATAGCTGAATGTCTTCAACATGTAATGTTGCTGGATGTCAGAATGACTGCAGAGCTGAAACTGGTAGATATGAACTCTGTTTAGACTGAGTGAACAGGAAGTAGACATCTAGGCCACAATGCATCAGTAAAAACTGACACTGAGCCATGAGCATTAACAACTGTAAAAGGTCAATGGAGACGGTCAACCATTTCTTCCTGACTTTTCTGTCATTTAAATGTCCAGGTTGATTGTGATGTATTAATCATTGAATATCCATAAAGAAGTAAAGAAAACTGCTCAAATGCACAACAAGCAAACTTTGTTCAAAACTGTGGCTTGCAAAGCAATGGGCAACAGGCACTCTTTCAAGGAATGCTTATTTTATTGTAAATATTTTAAACAAAGTGATCTGTTAGCGCTCAGAGTTTATGATGTGAATGACTCCCAGGTACTACCACAGCAAAGTTTAGATCTACATCTATAGAATTGCCTGAAATATAGCCTTTTTGTGTCCTGATGCATCTCAGTAATCCAGGTAAAAATAATAATAATAATAAGTAGGTCCTCTGGATGGGTTCTTCTTTGAAGAACCCATCCAGAGGACCTACTTATTTTTTCGTTTTGATAGCCTTTTTGTATTTCCAAAATAATTTACCTGTGGCAGCCCTCTTGAGTTGGGTTGATCCCAGAAGTTAAGTAGATGTACATCCTGTGATTACTTTCTGAGAGTTTCAGTAAACTGTCTAGTGATTCATGAGATACTTTGCTAACAGGGAACCAGTCACACAAGTGACAAAAAACATGATGAAATACTGTATTTTCTTTGTGTGGAGCACGAGAGGCTGATGTTTAAAGCTGTACTAACTCTGTGTTTCTTGTTATTGCAGCTCCTGATTGGATTTGAGTGTGGAGTGGTTGTGTTGTGGGATTTAAAGTGTAAAAAGGCAGACTATCGCTACAATTACGATGAGGTGAGGCTTTATACTGTTTTATAGAGAGAGAGAACTGTTTATTTATTTATTTATTTTTTTGCAAAACTTGAAACATGATCTGTTTGTATGGACTCAGATTTTTATTAACATTTATTTTCAATCAGTATTAAGTAAAACAAAGTAAAATAAACATTTAAACTAAAATGATCTTGATTGGGTTGTTTTTAAAGTCAGTCAGTTGTAGATATACCATCCAATGATTATTTCTTGAAAAGTTTATTCAGATCCATCCACTGATTTGTAAGATTATTGACTTACAAACATTTAACTCACCATAGTTATTAGCAACATTTTAAACATATATACCATCTGTTAGGCCTATGAATGACTCTCAGCTACTTTCACACTAAGCAGTGGTGGGCACCAGTCCGCTAAAGCGCAAATCTGCTAATTGCAGACCTAAACATTTTGTTTGCGATTTAGTGGACTTACTAATTTTTATAATTCATAAGCGGATTTGCACTTTTTATATTTAAGTTGCAGATCTGCTAATATCTAATTATCTATCGGTAATCATTATCTTGAACAGCGGAAGGTATTGCTGTCAGTAATCACAATGCATGTGATCCATCCAACAGCTCCCGTCTCAGCTAAACACCATTTTTGGGAAGGTATACGTCCTTCCGTTGGGTCACGGTTCAGATGGTTCTCATTTTAGTAGGTCAGCTTWGCAAAGTATTTTTGCTGGCAGCAATCTAAATTACTCATATGGCTTCTGTTAAATTATAATAAACACAGTGCAAAAGACAATATTCAGTAGCCAGCAGGGATCCACATTTTACAGACATTTCCCACAATGCTTTGTGTCTGCTTACGTAGCAGGAAGGCAATGTTTAGAACTCCCTTTCCCAGCAAAAACAGTAAACGTTTGTAATCCATACTAAAATTTTGTTTGTATTGATTTATTTTACTTTACAATCGGAGCTCCCTTTTTAAAAAAAGTTTAAGTTTAAACGCTGGAGCTCAATACTTGACGTAATTGGTCGAAGCAACGGGTTAATAGACTTATGCTGACGAAGACTGACATCTAGTGGTCAATTTGAGCAGCTGCAACTACATGGAAAAGGAAAACATCCTGATGCATCTCAAAAATCAAAAAGACAAAAAATAAGTAGGTCCTCTGGATGGGTTCTTCTTTAAATGTTTCGTCTCTTCTCCAAGAGACTTCTTCAGTCTGAGTTTCAGGTGAACTGAAATCGACCCAATGGAAACATGGAGAACTAAAATCCAAGCTCTTATTTTGAAGGGAAAATACCATTTTCCTGTTCTCTATGCTTTCGTTTCCCGTCACAAATGTACCCAGAGTGCATCGCTTCAGTTTTCTAATAAACAGTTTTAAAATTACTTTATTGATGCTTCTTTAATGAAAAATCTACAACAAGCAAAAGAAAAAGACAAAGAATCAGCCGAAATAGCAATCCTCAGCAACTTTTTAAAGAATCAGCCGAGCAAGCCTCAACAAGTTTTTAATTTTTACACCCAGGAGTCAAAGTTCTGTTTCAGGAAATCAGACCCCCACATTCGGTGGTTGTAAAACGAGCTGTACGAGGGTTCATACACCACTAGTGGGCAGCATTGTACATATATGTACATGAGTTTTAGCCAGCTAGAAAGTGTCAAATTGAACCTACGCTTTAGAATTAGCTTCCACTAATATTTATATGTAATAAGCGCTTTTGAAGTTGCGGACCTAAATATTTTCATAAGTGCTTTTGAAATTGCGGAGCTAATTTTTTTTATTAGCAGTGCCTACCACTGACACTATGTTTTAGCTCTGTATTTGTAAATTTAACTGAGTTATAGACATTTTGTGTTTTATTAGATCATTTGGCTGTGGCAGCCATCTTGAAAAGGGTGAAGTCCAACAGTTAATGACTTGTAGATGTTGAGTCAATGATTACTTTCTGAGAGTTTAATTAAAACGGATACAGTGATTCATGCAATATTTAGCTAAAAATGCAGATGCATGCTCTGCAAACAAACAGGTAAAAACATTTTTGCTGTCTTCGCCTTTTGCTGGCAGGCTGTCAAACAACAAAAACAAAAGACAAATGAAGAATTTATCGTGCTAATATAAAGAGATTTTATAAATGTAAATAGTGGTAGTTGAAAATAATAAAATGAAACTTCACAGTAGCTGATCGATTTTAGCTAACAGCTAATTTAGATGCTGTTAGACAGTAATGCCTGGACACACCCTTTGATCTCTTTGTTTTATGGGTTTTTGAGATGCTTTCCAACCTGACAATGTGCTGCTGTGACTCTCAGGCAATCCACTCAGTGGCTTGGCACCATGAGGGTAAACAGTTTGTTTGCAGCCACTCCGATGGCACTTTGACCATGTGGAACGTTCGAGTCCCAGCCAAGCCTGACAAGATCATCACACCACATGGTTCGAGCTGTTTTCTACTACCACATTATGTGTTTATATGCACAAAGAGACATAAGTTAAGTGTAGCAGTTCCTTCAAGGTGGGACAGATGTGTGTACATCAAATGTTCTGAGCAGATAGAAGTTTCATGTTTTTTTCTTTTTCTTTTTTTTTTGACCTGCAACAGGAAAACAGCCTAAGGATGGAAAAAAGCCAGAGCCATGCAAGCCTATCCTGAAAGTGGAGTATAAAACTACAAGAGCTGGGTAGGTGTGACCAGTGAGTTCTCACCCATCCTGTGTCTCTACATAACTCCTGTCTACACAGATGTGTGATTGACCCCAGGTGCACCCCGCCTTTTTTTACAGTGATAGCCTTTCTGTGGCCAATGGTTTCACACATTAAACTTTTACAATAAACTACGTTTCCTAAAACGCCCAGAGCAATTTTGCCCTCATGCTCACACTTCTTCATACACACACCTGTGGCCACGGCACTGCGTGATAGTGAACAATGAAAGTGGCTTGTGCTTCTTTTCCTCTGCTGCTCAGCAGAGAACCTGGTGATGTCTAATCAGCAGGTAATTTGCCCCCTAAACCTCAGATGTTATAAACTTTACTTGCATCTGTGAAGATGATTAACTCATTATTCATAAACAGCTGTTGAGTTTGATGATCTGGAGTCTCTAAAAGAAGCATTGATTTAATTAATTTTGCTTATGTATCGTGTGCGATATATACTGTATACCCCCACTTTGAAAGGAGCCCCCTCCTCAAATATGGCGTCTATCGTAAAACCGTTGGCTGGCGCAGTGTAGGTCAGACTCATCTACAGTCCTGCCAAATTTCATGTTAATTGGTACAGCAGTTTTTGTGCTACGGTTGACCACAAATCACTGAAATAAATAAACCGTACGTAAAGTGTTTAATTTATTATGACCCCGCTTCGCGTGCGGGGGTCATAATAAATTAAACAGTTGTTGATGGAATATAAGGCATAAGAAATTATTGTTTAAGATGAGTCTAAATGTAATTATTTTTATCTGTTAGGTTATTTATGTAGTAAATACTACATGAAACATAATTTGGAAAAGATCATTTGTATTTCTAGTTATATGAGAATAACATTACTTCAATAAATATTGGCAGAAGTGAGCCCTTGGCTTGGACCAAGTATTGAATTTTGGCCACCTTGTGTGAGTTTGACACCCCTGTTAAGGTGTTAAATTAGTCACAGTCTGGTGAGTCTAAATGTTGTATTTAATTGTAATCACTCTACTCACTAAGGAGTTTTACCCAAATATTCATCATAATTTATATTCTTGGTCTTTTAGGCAGCTACAACAGAGAAGCAGCTCTATGCTGTCCTGCAGTACGACATGTGAGCACAGAAGATGGAGACAAATACTTGAAAATATTAATCAGATGCAGAAAAAGCTGAAATGTCAGAATGCAGAGTGTGGACAGAAACAACTCTCTGAGGGAGAGATGGGAGGAAGATCCTCCATAGATCAAGAAAATCACAAGCAATTTTGTGTGTGTCAAAACAAAACACTTGATTGTTTTATAGACACCAAAGTATGCACAAATTGTCAATATTAGTCTTTGTTCTGTTTGCACCAATTTGATTGTTACATAAATCAACCTGTAGAGCAGAGAAGCCCAAAGTGGGGCCCGTGGGCCAAATTTGGCCCGCCAAGCYATTAGATTTGGCCCACCAACAGTTGCCAAAGTTACAAGGTTGTAACCTGTTAGGTAGAAACACAGTGTTTCCATCGGTCAAATGATTATATAAAAGGGCTGTTGTGAAGGTAGTTTTCAGTCATGGTGCTGACATATCTTTGATTTATTAGGATTAAACATGAAACATGAAACGACAACAAGAAATATTTAGATCAGATTTAACCCCGCATGTTGATTTGCACACTTTATAAGGCTACAAAAACTCATATTTGATCAATTTATGAAATGTCCCATGAGCCTTTGCTACATGAGCGTATGGCAGACTTTCGCCAAGTGCACAGACTAAAACAAAAGAGGGACATTGCATAGCTTAATCGTTAAAAATAAAGCACTTTACTTTAAAAGTATTTGTATTTTATGTATTATATAACTGCATTTGGCCCGCAGCCATGGATAGATTTTCATTTTGGCCCCCTCGGGGAAAATGTTTGGGCACCCCTGCTGTAGAGTCATTAATGTGAAACATTTGCATCAGGCAGACTATGGCTTATAAATTGAAATGGATAAACACAATGTACAAGATGTGCCTGTAATAAATTTAACAATACTAAGACAGCTGGTGCACTTTTTTCACTTGAGCACCTCCCCCCACACACCCCCCAAAATGTCTGTGCACACCGCTGCCTGTCTAAATTCATATGCTTCACCTTTCCTGTTGTTCTGGAACAAACAGGCTCGTCTTGTTGATGCTTTCACAGATGAAAACCTGGAACATGACCAGTAGCTTTTATACTCAGACAACTGGCTAATCGTGTTATAATTACTATAATTGAAGCTGGTGTCGTGTGAAACAACTTATGACTGAGTCAAAGTACAACCTAGATTCTGAGAAAGTTGTTTAAAATGAAAACAGAAGGAAAATGTTTGCAGATGACAAAAACCCATGTTTTTTATGTTTTTCATAATGGAACATCCTAAGCATTTCAAAAGTTTAAATTAAATGATTGAACCATTTTTATTAAAAGATATTTTTTTGGCTACATGGCTACACATGCAAAGAAAAATTAGGATGGGGCAGTTTGAAAGTCTTCAAAATTGGATGCCCAAATAATTGTGCTGAAGACCAAGTCCAATTCCCTGCAAAAATGTTTATTCTCAGATCTAAAAATTCCATCTCACCCAGCACTTATGCATGCGAGTCTAATCAGAACACAAAAATGCAATGGCTTCCAACTTCTATCTATGCTCTTAAGCCTTCGTGTCCTTAGAAAACCAAAATATTTATAGAACACTCTGGTAACACTCCTAAGGGCAGTTCTGATGTCAGCATTTACAGGTCCTTACCAAAAAATTAGCGTGTTGTGATAAAGTTCATTATTTTCTGTAATGTACTGATAAACATTAAACTTTCATATATTTAAGATTCATTGCACACCAACTGAAGTAGTTCAAGTCTTTTATTGATTTAATATTGATATTTTGGCAAAAAAGTAAAGAAAAATCAAAAATCCCTATCTCAAAAAATTAACATATTTCATCCGACCAATAAAAGAAAAGTGTTTTTAATACAAAAAAGTCAACCTTCAAATAATTATGTTCAGTTATGCACTCAATACTTAGTTGGGAATCATTTTGCAGAAATGACTGCTTCAATGCGGCGTGGCATGGAGGCAATCAGCCTGTGGCACTGCTGAGGTGTTATGGAGGTCCAGGATGCTTCGATAGCAGCCTTAAGCTCATCCAGAGTGTTGGGTCTTGTGTCTTAAGCTCATCCAGAGTGTTGGGTCTTGTGTCTTAAGCTCATCCAGAGTGTTGGGTCTT